CAGAGTGCTGAATGTACGTTTTCCCAGCTTCACCTACTTCTTCCTGTCCGTTAGGAAGTTGGTGATCAGTTAACAGGTGGAGGCTAGCGGGCTAATCTGAGTGAGCATAGCATGGATGTTGGGGTTAGGATTGGTTGTGTAGCGAGTTGGGTCAAGTAAAGGGACTGTGCATAGATTAAGAAAACAGCAATGCAGGTCATCCATTTTTTCAAGTAGCTCCACTTACCCATTTTGATTTCCTTTCATAGTGTGCCTCTTACCTCCTGCTTGTACACACATGCATTCTGTGCATTTTTTTTTTGTAATCCAGTTATATAAAAGAAAAATACAGAGTAAAAATAGAACGCCTTTTTGTTTGACAAAAATACAAGACAAGCAAGTCTGACAAGATTAGATTGAAATGAAATCTAATTAGATCAGGGATGAAAATGGAGAAACAAGGAATTATTTAATTTCCTAGAAAGCCCACCTCTGGTTTACCAAAAGAAAATAATCAAAACAGCCACAGAAGCCACAAAGAGACATGTTTATAAACATATTTATAATCCAGCTTTTTTCCCTTTTCGGATCTCTAACACACATTTCCTGTCGTTGCAGTATGATGTGTGAAGTTTAGCACAAACGCAGCAAGCCTCTTTCTGCCTGAGCAGAGAGCGCTGATAATCTGCCTGAGCATTATCTTATGTCACCTTTTTGTGCATGCTATGCCCTTCTAATGCCAGAGTTTTACCATGTCAACACTCAGAGCCGTGCTCACTGAATTTGAATGCAGCCGAAAGGAAACTGACATCTGTGTTGGTTTGTAGTGCCGGTAGAGGAAATAAAATGATAACAACAGCCTTGCTCTAAATCCAGCGGAATGGCAACTTTCCTCATTCAGCAACACAGGGACTTTTGAGGAGATGCCATTGCTGCCTCATTGGTTTTTCACTCCCTCTGATTACTCCTCTCATCTTATGTAAATCCTCTTAAGTCACATGTTATTGTTTATTGCAACTGTGAAGGTTAGGTGTTCCTAAGCCCTGTGCGTGCGCTTATCTCACCAGCGCATGCATCTTTGTCTCTCCAATGTGTCTTGTTTTCGTAATACACTAATGGATGAGAAAAGTTGTCTGGACTGATGCGGTGCAGACAACCAATCCACTGCAGTAAAATGCTAATCTCTCCCAGTGGCTAACAACTCTTCATGAAAGAGAGGCAGTTGCATGCTCCAGGGATATCACAGCATTATCAGAAGCCTGCTGTATTTGGGCTTTTTTGAACAGTAAATATAAACAATTCTTAAACACACATTCACTTTTTAGACCAGTCAGCGTCCCTGCCTCTGTAGAGTGCAGTCAGGAGCTGGCGATTGTGGTCACAGGTTTGATGAATGATGAATGGTCCACAATTCTATAAAATATGTGAGAATTTGTACAGCACCACAGCAACATGGAGCCTTTTTAATGGAACACAGCCATTATTACTTTCCTTAGTTTTACTTGTATTTTCCCTGTTATGACAAGTCAAAATGTCTGCTGGAAAAAGGTCTAAAGAGTGATGACGACTCCAACATGTGTTAGCCATAGGAAATAAATCCCTGATTTCCATTGTTTCCCTGGTCTTTGTACTATAACTTAATGTAGCTGGAGGAGAAAAAGGCACTCCTACAGTAGGCTACAAATTACAGGCTACTGTTTCACTGGGCATGGCATACAATGACTTTAAGACAGCAGGTATAGTGAAGACTTCCACTGGAGGACAATTTCAGAGACTATAAATATAACATGCATATGCTTTATGCATGCACATGTCATAGTCATATACTCACTACATGGCCCATTTGTTTAACATCATGTTGTGAACTTTAAACCCCCAATCCAGAAGGTAGACGTAAAAGGCCCTAAAACAGTTTGCCAACCGCAAACAACAGAGAAGAGGGAGATTTTTAAAGGTGCAGTGTGCAACATTAATGAGGCTCTATTGGCAGAAATGGGGAATATTTAAATATTTCATAGGTTATAATTTTCAATTAGGTGTATAATCACCTGATAATAATAATAACTGTTGTTTTGATTACCTTAGAATTAGCTGTTTTTATCTACAGAGGGAGCGGGTCCCCTTCTACGAGTCCGCCATGTTGAACCGCCATGTTTCTCCTGTAGCCCAGAACAGACAAACCAAACACGGCTCTGGTTAGGGCCTGTTTTTTTGCGAGTTTCACAGCCACTGTAGTTTCTCCTACATGCTTGGAGGGCGAGCAGATATTTAGTTGGTTGCAGGTTGCAAATCCCTCGCTTCACAATCCCTCTCCAAGCAGGAAGGAGAAACTATGGTGGTCACGAAAAAAAACTAACTGCTTTTTTGTTCACTTAAGCCTCCTTCAGAACAAATCAGGTACAGTAACATGACTTGAGGTCAGTTTTGACACTTTGGGCTTTGGAATGTTGATATTCGTTTGTTTTTGAATGTTGATGATACCAATAGTGTTTCTGTGTTGCAACTTCTATAAGCTTATGTATTAAAAATGTTCATACAGTATACACTCAGTTGCCAGTTTATTACACATGGCTAAAACTAATGCAGTTTAATACAACAGTCCTGCAATAAATCCTACCTGTATGAAGTTTATAATGTTCAGTTTTGTTGAAACTGCATTAGTTTAGTTAGGTGTGCCTAATAAACTGGCAACTGAATATATTTCCTAGTAGAATTTTAGCCTCTGTTAATTTTAGATACCAATATTCTTTAATTATTTTAGGCATCTTAGCCCGCAGCTCTTTAAAGGAGTATTTCAGTAAAATGTAAAAATTGCAAAAACATTTTGTGGGTGTGTACATTATACAGCAAGTCAGCTACTGCATCTTCATTTCAACTTCTACAAACCAGCTGAAGTGGCTGATAACATTGTATTTAAAGTTCCAAACAGAGCCAAATATGAATGCACAATGGCCCTAAAGCCTGACAGTTTCTTTGATCTCTCAAAGACAACAGTTTGGTATTGTGTGTAAAGAAACAGAACATAGTTGTAATGAGAGACCTTCCAAATATACAGTAACACTAGTCCTTCTAGTGTATATGGACACTCTTATATTTGAAAAAACAAACATTAATTAAATCATTAAATCAGTGACTGGAGGTGGTTCGGGCATCCATCCAATTTTTGGACTGTTTCTCTTTGCTCAGTGTAAACAAATTTACAACCCTGGTACTTTGGCCGTCTTGGCCGTCTATATTGTGCTGTTTTCTCCTTAATGTGTTTAATCATACACCACCAACTTAGTGACACACAGGAAACCTAGTTTGGAGTTGCTTCTCTATTAAGGCTGTTTAAGGGACAGGGGCAAAAAAACAATATGTATTAATAGTGGGTATTTCTGGGTAATATTAGACTGAATTTATGTTACAGGGTAACAATGGACTAAAAGAAATGTTAACAATGGAGAAACACATTTAAAGAAAGGTAACAAGGCAGTATTTAGTAATAGTATAGTAATATTTTTGTAAGAATATGGTAACAATTACAATGAAATGGTTATATCAGTAATGTTTGGATTAAAGAATGGTAAAATGGTGACATAAATGGGGTAATGACCAGATAAAAAATGAGTTAATATAGGATGAAGTAATTACCATATACTAATGTTGAAATTCATCCTCCTTGATGTTTCAAAATAATACTGTACAAATTATATGTTTAATGCTGTGACTTGTAACCTGGAAACACATGTGGTAGTTTCTGTGTAATAACCCTGAATTTGAAGCTTTTACTGTACTGTAACATACAGTGAATGCAACTTACACTTCCTAATCATTTTATGTTACATTAAGTCACAAAAAATAAACCTGATGCAAACTGACTGTAACGCAACAATGAATTTATTGTTCAAATATGGGGGATGGAGGGAGCCTTTGCAGGAGCTCTCTTTGCCGTCACTACTCCTTCCACCAGCTCTGCCCTATTACCATGCAGACCTCGTGGTCAAAGTGCCACCACAATGGCTTGAACAGTAGTCTGGGATTGAAGCAGAACAAAACTGCCATGCCACCAAGCCCAGACAAAGACTTGGCCTGTGGCCATCACGTTCTTCCTCCTCCTCTCGGACTCCTCTCTGCTTTCAGTTGGAATGCTGACCTGCGATGGCGAGTGATAAAACTGAGGAGGCCCCACCTGAGAACCAGACTCTCTGGTGGTTTCTTGCTCCACCAGGTCGTTCTCCCCTGCCGCCCTAATGTCGGCTCCTGACCTGACCATCAGGCCAGTATGAGGCCAAAATGCAACGACTGGAGCAGAACCCAAAGCTTCCTTTTGGTGTGGCTCAGGAAACACACTTTCTTGCCTGTTTCTAGTTTGCAGACACAGACTAGACT